GGGAGTGGCACTCCAATTTCGTTGTACTCTGTACAATGACAATAAAGGCTATTCTATTCTATTCTAGTCAGAATTCTGACTTTTTTCTCAGATTTTTTTCCAGTGGCCCTAATCCTCTTCCGTAGTAAAGTAACAGCTCTGTTCTGTAAAATATATGTGAAACTGTCAAAGACGTGTTTTGGTTTGTGTGCAGCTAAGTAAATGAAAGTCGTAAGAGTCCTGTGCTCTTCTGTGAATGTTTCCTCTCTAGTTACAGTAACAGAATCTTCTTTCTTTCCAATAAAAACCTGCTTGTATTTCATGCTCCACAAAAACCTGCATACACAGCTTTTACAACCTCGACCCTGTCGTCACTGATCTATACAAAGTAATCCACCAAGGTCCCACTTGAATTTTTAGAATAGAAAAGAAGTAAAAATCAAGTCAAAAGCAGACATTCATTCATGGTTTCACCATAATTGGAAAACATTCCAGACCGAATTGAAATTGTTTTGTTTGAAAGCTGTTTTTTAAACAATATTTAATACTTTGCAACTTGAGTTGGTTTGTGTGCAGCCTGACTGATTGTTGGTAGGCACAGAACTATGAAACAGAACATAATAAACAGTCTTCACCAGTCACAATAGTGGAGCTGGTACAGTTTTTACTTTGTGTTTGTGTGTCCTGTATATTATCCGACCCAGGAATACTGAGTACTTATATAGCCAGCGATGATCTTGCTATGAAATTGCACCAGCCATGACACCCTTCAATATACTGATTGATGACAACTCGAGTCATTACAACATTATTACGTGAATTCCTGCTCCAGATGCGTGTCTCCATGAACATAACAACACCAGCTATGCTGTTGTGGCTGGTAAAAATTTACTAACGACCTCTGACTACTCATGGATGTGAACTTCAGGATGCTGACAGGTATTACAGTTATATGGATGCTTCAGGCAGAGATCCCAGTTTGTGTTTTTGGAGTTGGGCTTCCAGTGTTTCTTCATTTTTTAAAAATTGGGTCATTTAAAAAAAAAAGAAATCATAAACATACCTCAAATGTTGTCCTCTGGATGGCTTGTAAATGCTTCAGGTGCAGCAGACAAACACAGACAAAAAACTTGGTGAATAAGGATCAGCATCTTCGAATTATGTGTTTTAAAGGTACGCTACAGAATCTGATGGCAAAAGAACAAAGATGTATGACACATGAGTGCTTCTGCCATGTGTCTCTCAATATAATCCTTAAAAAACCTCTAAATATAGCTGTGATTTTCAGTGTATGCCTGTATGTTTCCCCAGTGCTGCATAATAAATCAGACCCACTTCCTCTATAAACTCATAATACTAGTGTCTGTAAGTCTTCTCTGCAACTCTGTGTATCCTCACTATCTGACAGCGCTGCGCTTTAAAACGCTCATGATGAGACATTCATCAAGGCTGGAGGAATATTGTTACAAAACAATAAAACAGTGTTTTTATTGATTTTTCTGTCACTTTCAGTTTGTCGTTATGAGAAACAGTAACCACTGAAAACAAAGCCAACACATGTCACTGACAGAAAAAAGGCAGTAATGTATTATGCAGAAGATTTAAGAACTAAAGTGCAGATGCTTCCAAAACCAGTATATTGAGTCGTTTTCATTTTTATTTCAGTTAATTTTAAAGTGCAACAATTAGAAAAAAGCTACTTCAATTTGCTGCCATTAAAGTTCTCATGTCAGCTTTTGAAGCTGCAGCACTCGATATGAAGTTTTGAGAATCATGGGGAAACGTGCCACAGCTCTGTGCATTTAAGCCAGCGGTCCCCAACCTTTGTTGCACCACGGACCGGTGTAATGTCAGACAATATTTTCACGGACCGGCCTTTAAGGTGCCGGTCCGTGAAACAAAATAAAATAATACGACCTCGACCAAAACTGTGGTATTTTGTAAATATAATAATAAACACGAATTCACTGTGTAATTGTGTAACTTTATTAGCAGCGTCCTCCTGAAATGCACCAACAACATTGAGAGTAACATCCTCCTCTCTGCCCCTTAATGCTCTCTGGTCGCTATGGTTACGCGTAAATAGTTCTTTCAAAATAAGACGCACAACTACAACACGGGAAAAGACCCAGGGAAACCCAGTTAACGATAAAAACCCTGAAACCATAAATTTCACACCCGAGCCTCAACTCTCACGGCCCAGAGCCAAACGACTCACGGACCGGTACCGGCTTCCCCATTGAATGTATTCGATGCATCGTGGGAAGCCCCCAGCAGCCTAAGCTTATTGGAGCATAACTAAAGGAGGGTCCAGGATCACCTGATCAAAATCCCAAGTCCAACACTGGAAGGTGGTTCCACAGAAGAGGCGTCTGAAGGTTCTGCCTCCCATTCTACTTTTGAATACCAGAGGAACCACAAGAATCCAGCAGCTTCTGAGTGAATTGTGGTATCATGGTGATATGGTACTATGAGACCTTTAAAATAAGATGGGGCCTGATTATTCAAGCCCTTGCATGTGAGATGAAGGATTTTAAATGGAATTGAATGTAACAGTGAGCCAATGAAGAGAAACCAAGTCGGGAGAAATATGCTCTCTTTCTCTTGCATGTTTTCTGTCTTATTACTTTAGACTCGTGATTTTTGGATTGGGGCACCAGGGGGCATCAAATCATTTGTTCATCATTGTTAACCATCCCTTTCACATAATAATACTTAAGTCTCTTATGCACAGTCCTTTGCTTTGGATGGTTCAGCCTGGGTATTTAAACTCATCTACCTTCATGTTCTCTACGCCTTGCACACTTTCTGCTCCTCACATTTTCAAAACAGGCTTGTTCCTTTCGTTGTTGTTGTTTTTCCATCACTGTGTGCCTTTAAACATCAAACCAATTCCAGCCTAAATGGAGGGAACATGATGCATATAAGACAATCCTACTGGGTATCCGTCATCAAGGCGTATCACATACAAAGGGATGAAAGAAGGAAAAACATAATTATTAGACTCCTCTTTGACCTCATCTATCAACCAGACCAATCAGAGTCACTCCCACCTTAAACCCATGTGTCGCTCCTGCCCCACACCCCACCACACTCATACATGTCCTGCACAAGCCTCACATACTTCTGCCGCTCCTGACTTCCTCATGCAGTACCACAGTTTTTCTCTTAGCAGCCCCTCACAGACTTCCTGTAGATGCACAAAGACATTGTCTTGAACACTACTTTTTCTTCTGACACACTTTGAGTACCGGTATCACGATGTGGGTGTGTGTATGTGTGCGTATATCATATTAAAGTAACAACAATCCGTCAAAGGCTATTACAATGTTAATGTCATTACAATGACATTAATGATGTCATTAATGCACTAGTATTATCTCATCTAGAGTACTGTTTGATCATTTGGTCAGCAGCTAATAAGACAGATCTGAACAGACTTCAGTTAGTCCAAAATAGGGCGGCCAGATTGGTGTTAAGGTTAATATTATACAGATATTGATAAAATGCACGATAAACTTTCTTGGCTTTCTGTACAAGCTAAATTATACTATGGTTTACTTGTATTTTTAAAGAAAGCAATACTGGCAAACACACCACACTTTTTTATGCTCAGTTGCAGCATCCAGATGAAATACATAATCATGCTACACGATTCTCAACTAACCACAATTTAGTAACTCCTTGAGTTACTAAATTGTAACTTTTTGAAAAACTCTGTTATATTTAGAGCATCTTTTCAGTGGAATAAGTTGCCTTATGCAATTAGAGAAGTGGCTTCTATTCATAATTTTAAAAATCACCTAAAAGCCTATTTAGGCAGTTTTTAATTTATTTGTAAATATTGTGAGAGGGTAATGTCACTTGTAATGGAAATTGTGTATTTTGTTTGAGATGGTTTTTTATAATTTTTAATATTTACATGCTTATATTTTCAGAATTGTAAAACCTTATTGTGGATGTAAGAGCCAAATTATGTGGACATTTTGCATCCAACTCATTGTGTAACATTTTATTCGGTGGTATTTGATGGTTTGGGCCCCAGGAAGACTAGCATCGATGCCCCGGCTAGCTTCTCAGTTTTCTGATAGTTCAGTGGAATCCTAGTTGTACAAATATTAGGTAGTTTAAAAAGTCCAAAAAGGTTGTACATTTACTTCAGATGAAATTCAGTTTATAATTTAGGGTTCTGTCTAGTTCCTGGTAGACTGTTTCACAGTTTCAATCTAGTACTTTAAGAGAAACAGAAATTATGTTATTCTATTAAATGAACACTATAGGCAGGACAGGGCTGATAACGTTTTCCATCTACCTCTAGCATTAGCTTTGTTATTAGCCATTGCCACTAGCTGCTGTCTTATTCATGGCATGGAGTCGATCCTGTTCTGCACACCCATTCATTTTGTTTTAAGACTCCTCGCTGTACCTTTGGCTGAAGACAAATCTATATAAATCTTGCTGGATGTGTGGAGAATGAATTCGGCGCTGATCAGACACCTACATGACGGTGCTTCATGAGGAATAAGAATCTACTGAAAGTGTGTCAAACTATCCCATAGCTCTGTATATCCACACACCGCCTTACTGCAGACACACATTCTAATTCACATTACTGTAGTTCTTTGGTTCTGATGTTTTTAATGTTCATAAAACTGATAAAATATGACAGAGCTCAGGTAAAACTATTGCTGACTGACTGTTTGAGGGTTTTGACTTATCTTACAGTTTAATCCTAAGGAATATCAGATGGAAGCTTGAATGTATCTGCTGAAATTGAATTAATTAGAGGAAGTGAGTTCTCTGCAGTTTTGGTGTCCTTAGGTGCATTTGACTACAAGGTGATGATTAAGACGTTGTGGTGAAGCACTTGGATAAAACTAAAGTGTGAGAGTCGAAGCATACAAGAACATACATTTTCTGCTCTTGTTTTCCTAGAAGGAAATGAATGAAATCTTCTTCTCACTGTTCAACTTCATTTATTTAATAAATATTTGTTTTTTTATGTCTTTGTCTTAAAACAGGCATTCTGAGGTCCGTTCACCATCCTCCAATAGTGGGTCATTTTTTCCTGTAATAGAAATCTGTTTGACAGCATTTCACCATCCATCACACCCAGTCTTGTTCAAGGTAAGCAGCACCATAGGTACCACTTCATTATTCTGATATTTGTAATAATCTAATGAGGCAATACTTTAAAATTCAACCCTTGTTATGCCAGTTTTTGTTTAGCTTTGGGTATATATTAAAATAAAAATACTTAAACAGTGTGTTGGTTGCTTTCAGAGTTAGAGGTCATGTGTGTGCTCTGTATATTGATTGGTCTGGGTCATGTTTACCTTTGCCACATATAAGCATTAGCATTATGGGATAGGATAAAATACCAGTATGGAAATATACTGTATTGGTCCTGTGTCAATATTTTATTGATCGACTGCTTTAGGACTCCTTGTGCTTGCCCTAATAATATGAATGAATGTAAAGTGAAAGGAAGCACACTATATTGGTAAAGAAAAGGAGTATAAAATATTATGAAGATACACAGTATCACTACACAGCAGTTTTTCAGCGCTTTTTATATTTGAGGACAAACATCCATCCTTTTTCTGCCTCTTATCCGGGTTCGGGTCGCGGGAGTAGCAGCCTGAGCAGAGAAGGCCAGAAGGCCAAACTCCTCACCGCATCTCTAAGAGAGGCCAGCCACTCTCTGCTCTGCTGCCTGGTCTTTACTCTGGATAATCACGTTTTGTAGGGGGGTAAAATCCAATTTCAGTTACGCCCTCAAGTCTTTTTGAGTATGATGCTACAAGCTTGACATCCCTTTTTTGGGCAGTTTCTCCTGTTCTCCTTTATGGATCCTCTTAAGCACTTTAATTTTGGACGGGGAGCACACAGCTATCTCCGTATCTCTTCAGAGATGTTCAATCAGGTTCAAGTCTGGGCTCTGGCTCGCCCACTCAAGGATATTCACAGAGTGGTCCTGAGGGCACTCCTTTGTTATCTTGGCTGTGTGCTTAGGGCAGAAATGGTTTCAGCATCGTTCCGCAGATCTGTGTCCTGAAACATTCCCGTACTGGAGGTCTACAAACAGTTCCTCATACTTCATCACTTGGTTTGAACTCTGACATGCTCTGTCAACTCTGGGACCTTATATAGAAAGATGCCTTTCCGAATCATGTCCAACCAACTGGATTTGTCACAGGCGAAACATCTGACAGGTGATCAGCGGAGACAGGATGGACCTGAGCTCAATTTTGAGTGTCATGGCAAAGGCTGGAAATGCTTATGTACGTGTTATATTTTTGTTTTTATTTTTAATGCGTTTGCAACAATTTTAAGCAATTAAAAACAAACTTATGGAGTTTTGTGTGAAATGAATTGATTCCATTTGGAATGAGGAGTAACAAAATGTAATTAGTGGGTTTATGTGTTTTTCTGTAATGTTACCAGCAGAATGATGGAGGGATTATAAAGCACAGAAGGGAATAAACTGGGTGACAGACCCATGTAGCATGAGAGTCACTCCTACTGAACAGGTGTCTCCATGTTACAAAAGAAAACAGCACCAGGGAAGAAAACCTCAGCTTTGTTGTTTCATCCATTTTTAAGTTTGTATGTTTTTCTTGTTATTACACTCGAGCAATTTGTCCCATCTCGGATGTGAGTGATGTAGCTGTGGACATTAAACTAATGTCATCACTGTCCATTCATTATTCACTGTTTCGGTGTAGTCACAGCTGTCTGCAACAATGTCCACATAGCAGACACCTGTAAAAAACACAAACTTGCTTGTCTGACTTCTCAGCATCTTCTCATGGCACGGCTCATATCACACTAATGGGAATGCTCCACCAGTTGTCCACAAACGAACATTCAATTGTCATTCTTTTACATGACAGCGTGGCTGGGAGAAATTGGTTTGCAACACCTCCGTCACTCATTTATCCATTCATCATCACCGTGATTTTCCCGGGCTGTCAGTGTGTGCGCCTCTGAAAAGGCCTGATGTCATGAGGAAAGGGTCTGCTGTTGAATTTTATGTCACTATCATCCCACAGCTGCCATCAACAATGCTCCCAGAAAACATTAATTGTGCAAACACCCAGAGGATGTAGGCTCCTGGGTGGAGACGTTCATCCTCTCAGGCTGCTAAGAATTTAGACTGACAGGAAAAACTCGTGGTAATCATTGTGCTGGATATTCTTTTTTTGCATTGAATTGTACCATTGCATAACAAAGGTGATACATCTAGCGGTGAGAAGTGACACTAAATTACTGTTAGTGTAATTTATGGGCACTGAAATTCTGCAATTTCTGCATTTTTAGGGAATAATTGACAGTTTCCTTTATGGTTGTAGTGACAGACACACAACCCTACAATGAGTTGTTGCGTTTCCTCAATGGTGTTCTCAGCATTGCAAGCTTGCTCTACTATTTAATTTTGCACAGTACAGGAGATTTCTGCATTTCTACGCTCTTTTCTTTTGATATGTATTCATCTGTCTTTCCCGTGCTGTACAGAAAATTACAGTGGACCGCCCCAAACACAACTTTAGCTACCTTGTGAATTGGTTGTTATATCGTTCTCATCTTAAGAAATGTTAGTATTTACTCCTCGTTGTGCTTTTCTTGTTTGCGTGCACTGAATCTGACATCGAGTTGTCGTTCTGGCATGTGTCAGTTTTTCAGCACGTGTCACAGATATTTATCGTAATTACACTAGTTTGAACACACTCCCTAAATAATCATACGTTGAACAGTTGCAAAGTCTGTTTCAATGCAAAGCATTTTTGTTTAGAGGGAAGAGTGAATGGTAGATGTTCACTTTCATACATAAATAAATAAAGACAAGAAGTTGTGGTGTTTTTAGAGCAAAATCAGCCACTGGAGTGTCTTTGAAGTTTTTCATGAATGTCTTTGTTAAAGTTGAGTTGAATGATACAAAACCAACTGACTGTTTATGTGATCATACGTGAAAACGCTGAGCTACAGTAACACAGTAACCTTTCTTTATGTGTCTGTCTTCTCCTTCTCATGCTTAAAGTGAAATTACAAGTCAGACACTCAAAAGACACCAGTGTATCTTACCTATTATATCCAATATTAGGGTTTGAGAAAGCATGTTTTTTGATTGATTTATATATGTTACTGTTGGGCTTTATGGGCTCCCTTACAGGAATCCCTGCTGCTCGTTGAATAGGAGGGTTAGCTTTCCTATACCCCAGAAAACCTGTTCTAATTCTGCTCAATATGCTACGTACCATTCATTTGAACATGTTTCTCTGCCATTGCTATAACAAGCCAGCCCAGCTAAGACGAGCCTATTTTATCCCCAATTCAATCTCCAAAGATTCAGAACAAGCACAGCAAAAATCATTACGAGGGTGGTTTTGTGTAACCCTGTACGTGGTGGAGGGAAAATCTCAGAACTACACCATTATTCTCCTTAAATATTAAAATTCACTTTGTGTGTCAGAAGCTATATCCGCATGTGTTTCTGTAAGTTACACAGTTACAGTGAGCTGTTGAGACCATCATGTATTTGGGCCTCAGCTAGTTGAATGACATCATTTGAAATTTTGGGTGGAAATGAGTGTAGATTATATACACTTGTCAGTTATGTATTTAAAAAATGTTAATCTCGGTAGTGTTCTATAACTGTTGCTCTCAAAATATCCTTTGAAATCCAGTGCAGAAGAGACAAAAAGCAGCATAGACGTGTTAAAAGTTATCAAAACATAAAGTATAAATGGTGAACTCGTGTTCCTCACTGTTTTCGTTTCCTTCCCTGAGGACAGAAGGAGGAACCGAGGGAGGAGGAGGACGATGGCTACCGATGGAGTTTCTCCCCAAGCTCTGCTGTGGCTCAGCCTGAGCGGTTTGAGCTCCCTGGTGTCACCCCTAAACCCCGATGATCCCAATGTGTGCAGCCACTGGGAGAGGTACGTTTCCCCAGTTCAGTCTCTTCAATATTCAAAATGATATTTAACAAAAGAAATACTGCAGTGAACTAATGGACTGCCGCCACAAATCAAAGCTGAGGGTTTGCCAATAATCAAATGCAAAAGGGAAAAGGTTTACTCCTGGGGACATATCGAGGCTGTAAATTCAAAGAGATGGTAATGTGACTGCTTGAGTGGTCCCAGCACTCAGCAGTATGTTGGGTAAAAACACAATGCTGTTTCTGATGAGAGCTACGGAGAGTGCAGGTGCTGTGATCGATAATGTCTCTGTGTAATCAGTAGGAATTGTGCAAATGGATATTACTGCTGATGATTATTACAGCTTTGACTTCTCGCTAAAGGTTAGACTCAGTTCAGTAACCTTTGTTCAACACAATGAAAACACAGAGTGAGCTCGCTGCCAGCTACGGAGGGTAAGGAAGATGAGTTTCTTGATAACAACCTGAGCGGTTGTGAACTTTAAGGAGAGTAAATGTTTTTTCCCCAGATGACTCAATGGCTATTAAAAGTTTTTCATATTTAAAAATCAGATTTATTCTAACCGTTGTATTTATAATGAGATCAGTGCTTGACATCCTAATAACCTGCTTTTGGATATCATTGACTAGTTGAGGAAAGAAAAAGGTTTCTATTGTGAAGTTGGACTTACATTTATGTTATATTTGATGTTTGCAGTTAATACAAAAACGTATTTTAATATATTACATTTAATATTCGTGTATTCGATAATGACACAAGTTTATCCAGAATTAGAAATTCATCCTGTCAAGCTGTTTTTTCCCTGTTCCTCTAGTTATGCAGTGACTGTGCAGGAGTCTTATGCCCATCCATTTGACCAGGTTTACTACACCCGATGCACCGACATCCTCAACTGGTTCAAATGCACGAGACACAGGTATGCACAAAGCAACTCTCTTTGTTTGCAGTATTTTACTGTTTTAATTCCTTTAACATTTAATATTTTAGGGATTTTAAAAGAAGCTTTTTCATCTGCTAATTTTGTTCTGCCTGAAAAAATACAAAGAATTATTTCACTGTAAGACTACAAATGTGAAAGTAAAAATACTAGAAATGAAAGTTCCAAAGTTTTCTTTGGTCATTTTAGCCTTTTTGGCCAGGGTGAAGGGAGTATCTGCCATCAAACAAGAAGACAGCCGCATGTAGCTATGATGATGTTTGCTAGTTCACCTTACATGCATTAATGTAATAACGTGGTTAGCCTACTCAACGTAAATTACACACGAACAACATGAAGCTACTCACGCAGAGAAGAACGGCTGCTGCTGCATCATCATCCTCATCATTTCTGCTACACTGGCAGGGCTAGGGGCCAGGACTCTATTCTTCGGGTTTTTGGGGGATGTTGCTCCGGGTCCGATAACTGGCAACCCACCCGACGTGCACGGTGTGAGGTCTCGCAGCAAGCTATCAAATACGGCGCATTTCTCGGCTTTTAAAAAAAACGCTATGCGTCGCCAGTGTTTCATCGGATTCTTGGTGTTACCTCCTTTGACAGTATCACAGTATCAGCTTAAAGCACTTGTTGCTGCTGAGTTTGCATATTTTGCTGTGAAGTACAGCCAGACTTTTGACCGCTTCGCCTTGGACATTTTTAATCTGTAGCTCTGCTCTAACAGAACGTACGTACCTGGCCCCGCCTACTATCCTCGGAAACGTAAAATGATTGGCTAGAAGTGTATCACAGCTCAGGAAAAAAAAGCACCGAAATAAAGCACCGAAATGTGCGCTGCTTTTCGGTCTGGTTACTACCGTTTATGTCAGAACCGGTGCCATCATGGCACCGGACACCGGTACCCATCCCTACTTAACAATCTTAAAAATAACTTTTAATCAGATTCTTTTGATCAGGAATAACAATGCTGGACTAAACTAAACAAAACTAAACTCATCGTATTAGCTGTAGCTGATGTTAAGTCAAAGCTCAGGATTCTGATATCACCAACAAATTGCATTATGGGACAATTGTCTGAGTTGTAAACATGGACTATACAGAGACAGATGTTGCTTCTGGGTCTAAAACTCGTCAGAAGATGAATCACGATTGGAAGCAGCAGCAAAGAGCTGAGGAAGGTCACTGAGTCAATAATTCATGGCTTAGGTAGTAATTGTCTACCAATTGCTACCATACTGGTAGTGTTGGTCAAGAAACTTGACCACATTTACTTGAAAAAAGTAATCAGTAACTAATTACTGATTACTTCCCCAAAAAGTAATCCTGTTACTTTACTGATTACTTATTTTCAAAAGTAATTAATTACTTAGTTACTTTTTAAAAACACGATTTACAACCTGAAGAGGTGATAAAGCGATAGATCTTTCAGCCCAATTCTACTTTTTCTGCATAATCCATCATACAAAATGTAATCAAATGGAAAAGTCTCTTTTTAAAACTTGTTTTATTAGTTTTAATCTTTTAACTTTATGCATCAAGCAAAAATTTAATTATATGCAACATTCTCTGACTGGAAGAAATTAGTTTAACATTTAAACCTATTTTCTGCACATTCCAGCACATAAAATAAAATATTTTTTGTGTTTACACTCAGTCTTTCAAATAGATGCAAGTAAAACACAGCAGAAAATAAATAAAGTCAAAGACTCAGCGGTCCTGTTGCTCTATTTTCACCTGTAAAGCAGGAGTGGGGTAGGCGGAGGGTTACCCTGGTGCAGGTGTGCCGCGGTCAGTGGAAGAATCCGCGAGTTTCTCTGTGAGTTTCCCATTACGTCGTAGCTACTCGGTGCTTGTTGGAAGTTTAGGGGTTTTTTCGCTGTAAAAAGAAGTTTTCTTCCCACGCACAGCGGACACTAATGTTTTTGTCACTTTTTATGGAATCAAACTCAAAGTAAGGTCAGTACTTCCACGCTTTAAACGCTGCACGCTCATACTCTCTCTGCACTCGATATTGATCCATTGTTGATCTGCACACAGTAATGCAGCGTTCCTACGGGAAAGTAACGGTAATCTAATTACCGTTTTTGCAATAGTAATCCCTTACTTTACTCGTTACTTGAAAAAAGTAATTGGATTACAGTAACGCGTTACATCTCTGCTGGTAAGTAATAATAGTAACACATTCAAGTGTTTTATTTACATTCAACAGGATTTATGCTATGTTACACACCTTAGATGTGACGGTTATCTTTGCTGTAGCAACACGACAGCACAGTCAGAATCAAAGAGAGACTTTATATGTTTTCTAAAAAAAGGGTTTAAACTGACAGACTGACACAATCAGCTACAGAGTAACATTTCAGTGAGATATATGAACTTATCTGAAATATCTGGTATTATGTGAAAAATCTGCCAAGTGTGGTCACCATAAACCGTGAGATCAGTATCTCCAAAAATAAAGTGAACGTAGTTTGGCTCGTTTAAATGGCACTCCTCGTTTGCTTTAGCTATGTTCAACGGCCACTACAGCTGGAAACAACTTAAATTGAAAATATGATATTTAGTTTTTCACTGAAATAAAATACAGCAACACTGCATTACTTAAACTTCTCATGTACATTTCTAACATTTTAAGTCATTGGTCAATACCTCATTACTTTATGGCTTTATATATAAAACACATTTTAGATATGAGTAGATATCACATCTACTTATATATACAGTATATAGTCATAGTCTCTTGATGCTGAGAGCAGCTCGGTTGCTGACAAACAGAGTTTGCATTGCACGGTCAGTAAGAAATGCATTCCTGCCCGTGCACTGCTGGCTCTGTTGTGCGGGCGCCGGGTCTATTGTGTAACTGACGCCACCAAAATTAACAGGAAGCTTGCATTAGAGCCTCTTATTTTGTGTTTTGTTTGGGTTTACGGCAATGCGTGAAATTACCAAAATTAGACAGAGGATAGCCTAACATAGGAAACGGACAAGAACACCTTGTAATCCACTTATTTCAACAAAGTAACTGTATTCTAATGATCACCCTTTTAAACGGTAACTGTAACACAATACAGTTACTCATATTATTGTAAATACGTAACGTCGGTACATGTATTCTGTTACTTCCCAACATTCTGATGAGCAACTGTTGGCATATCAGCTTCGATAATAATAATAACAATAATAATAATGGATTGCATTTATATAGCACTTTTCGGTGCCCTCAAAGTGCTTTACAATACCACTATTCATTCACTCTCACACACTGGTGGAGGCAGCTACAGTTGTAGCCACAGCTGCCCTGGGGCAGACTGACAGAAGCGAGGCTGCCATATCGCGCCATCGGCCCCTCTGGCCATCACCAGTAGGCGGAGTGTCTTGCCCAAGGACACAACGACCAGGACTGTCCAAGCCGGGGCTCGAACCGGCAACCTTCCGGTTACAAGACAAACTGCCAACTCTTGAGCCACGATCGCCCCATGATGACCACATCAAGCTTTGTAGCCACTAGTTTAGTTTATCTAAGAGCTGATTCGTTTAGCTTAAACTGAAATATTAGAAAACATCCTTGTCCTTGAACGAGTGGAGAAACTCCCCTAAACATTTAAGTGCTGCTCATCCTTTATAAGTGCAGTGACTACTGTGTTCTTAAGCGACCTTTGAGTGACAATGCTGAGTGATGACATGTTCAAAGGCTTGTTGTGGGATGTTCTGGTGAAAGTGCATTCACACGATCATTTTCTGTTGTTGTGAAAATAATTCACTGCAAGCTTACATTTTTTGTTTTATACATCAGTGTGGTCAGCGCCACACATCTTTTAACATTAATACCTTTACTGTGTTTATGTCACTTGCACAGGATCAGCTACAAGACCGCCTATAGGAGAGGTGTAAGGACCATGTACAGACGACGCTCTCAGTGTTGTCCAGGCTTCTATGAAAGTGGAGAACTGTGTGTTCGTAAGTCCTGCAGATTCCTTAACACCATTTTAGCCTTTGTGTCTTTTCTACAACCGGAGTAAATCACGTTACCTCAAACGGATTCAGTTCAATTCAGTTTTATTTTTACAATCAAATCACAACAACAGATGTTAATGAGTTTGTAAACTCATTACTACAAACCACATGACAATGTTCAGTCTGCTCACAGGGCAGATGTGCCTGGAGTGGGAGCAACAAAAGTAAATAGAGGAAGAAGTTGGTGAGTTCTTAACTATTGAAGAACACGGCGAATGTACGTTCATTAGACGGCTACATACAGTCCTTTGCACATCTACAGTCCCTATCCACATCGAGAATGTAAAGCATGCGAGGCATGCTTTTTAGCTCAAACTTGTAATGCAGACCTGTTAGTTGGTGAAGATCAAGGTTGGGTTACGTTCACACTGTAAACGAATTGCTCTGGAGTCCAGATAAAACTGTACCAAGACTATCCGGTTTGTTTGGTCTGGACCTAAGTGCAATTACTTTGTTCATAGCTACACAAATGAATCAAACCAAGGGTGAAAATGAACCACTTTGATATAAACAGACAAAATACTCCAGGTCTGTAAACAACCTAGCTCACACCTAGGGATGGGTATCGAAACCCGGTTCTTGTTGAGAACCGGTTCCCACTGTTTCAATTCCTTGGAAGTGTTTGCCATTTTTGCAAACGATTCCCTTATCGATTCCAGTCGCCCCGAATGACGTCACCACGTTGCGGAGCGTCATTTACCTGGCAGGAAACACGCCGACTAAGCGGCTCAAACGCTCAAAAGTTTGGTTATACTTTACGAGAACGGATGCAACAGGGCAACTTGCAATACTTGCAAAGTAGATATTTCATCTAAGGCAGGAAACACTACGAATATGCAAAAGCATTTGCTCACAAAACACGCGATGACCTTAAATGAATGTCGTGTTTTTAATTCCGCTCCGGACTCGTGAATCTCAACCCAGCAGCAGCAGTAACGTTTGCACGTCCTCTCCCGTTAATGCGGCAGGTAAATAATCAACTAACAGTGCATATTATGTTAGTGCGATCTGCCTTATTACAAACCTGCCATTACTGTGCATTTAGTGACCATGATGAGACAGAGTCTGGCTCAGATGCTGGCAGCTCTCGCTGCAGTCTGCCGGTAGCGTCTCCTTTCAGGCAGGATAGACGAATGTCACCGAGCAGAGACTCAGTTTGTGGTCAAAGGCTTGCACCCGTTTGCCACAGCAGATGACTTTCAGTAAGTGAATGTGTTTAATTGTAGGCAGGGACATTACTGGATATTCTTGTGTAATTGCTACAGAATAATTTATGGTATACTTTCTTATTGCTACAGAAGAATATTTATTTTATTATTTTACATTTACAATTTTTCCCCGGGGACCCTGTGACACCCGTTGAAGAGCCATAGGCTGGATCTCTTAAGACCTCACTGCTGGGTTTGTAAGGCCATGTTACTCCTAAATTTCTATCTTGTTCAAAGAGAAGATATAAAAGAAAGTTCTAAGCTAATCGACCTTAGTGTTCTCCTTTTTTAAAAAGAATCGATAAAGAATTGAATCATTAAACAGAATCGAAAATGGAATCGTGAAAATCTTATCAGTACCCATCCCTACTCAAAGTGTGCATTTTTGTGTTTAACAGACTAAGTCCGTCTACACTAGAAGAGTTTTATATAGATGCCACACCATTTACCTGTGACATGTCATGGTCCTGGGTCGGTGACCCAGTGTTTTGAGTTTTGTACATTTATTTTTGATCTCATCATGGTTCATGAATATTAGGGTTTTGGTTTCTGTTTTGCATTTCTAGAGCTCTAGTTCTCCTGGGTTTGTGATTTCTAGTTCTTAGGTTTAGTTCTGCCCTCGTGTTTATTCTCTTGTTCCCCAGTCAGTCATGTCTCATGTCCTTCCTATCCTTGTACTCGGCGTTCCCTCTGTTCAGTGTCTAGTCTGTGTCTGCCGCATGCTTCCTGTTTTATTTTGACAGTCCTGCTCCGTGTTCAGCCTCTGTTCCCCGTCTCGTCTGGGTAATTAGTACCAGCTGTGCCTCCCATTTCCTGATTACTCCGTCTTGTATTTCAGTCCTCTGTCATCCCCTGCTCTGCGTTGCATTATACCCTCTTTGTGCTGTGTCTCCTCCCTTCGCGTCCTGAGTATTCTTAGTTTCTAGGTTCCTGTTCTCCGGTTTTAGTCCTGCATTTGTGGTTTTGGTTTGTTTTTGTCACGTTTACTGCTATCAAGAGTTTCTCCAGCAATAAAGCTAAGTTAAATCTCTGTTTGTGAATCCGGCATTTTGGGTTCCATGGTCTACTGCGTCGATATGGACATGATGTATTTTTATTTATTATATTTTAATTAATTTTACTCCCCAAACGAATGCGCACAGTGGTAAAATGCAAACTTCATCCAGGACAGAAACAACTGCTAACATGCTAACACAAAGGTATTAAGCTAGCCAAGAACCCAGAGTGCCGTTAAAGCTGAGCATACTGACACTAAGTAACCGGGTAATAAAAGTGGTGATGAGCAGTCAGACTGCAGGCTCTGCTCATTTTTCTACAGTAGAGTCACTGTGGTGACGAGTTTACACTCTTTGTGTTGGTTTTCATCTTTGCTTTGTGCTGACGGCTTTGTGTTCATACCCAAATACTCCTAGAACGATCACACGGTTGTCCTAATAATTTGTGTTGGTGTGTGGGGCCTCTAGGTTTATATTGTTAATTGGTAATTATGAGACCGTGTGTTTCATATCATTTTACAGAGAAACATGATGTAAAAGCAATGTAATGGCTAGTATAATGAATTACTGTCTCCAGTGAATAACTAAGTCACATACTGCATTACTTTAAAGAAAAGCGTTCTGTGTAATACATGACCTTTAAAAACCCAATGAGAATTTATAAGAGAATCAACAACGAATCGAGTCGATAAGTGATATCGATATTGAAATCACAATCACTAGATTCGTATAAATTCCCATCAGTGATTATAGTCCACATAAATGACTGAACATGTGTCACATTTTTCCTGCTAGTTTCTTCTTAGACGCAAAATATAGATGCTATAAAAACCCAGCAAAAACACACTGTGGTTGATCAAAACCAAAAATGTTTGTTTGTTATCAGACAGCGCTTTCTCCTTAATATTCCAACCGCAAGAGAACATGTGTTATGCATAACGTGTCAGTGACAAACAAAACCATTTTCCTGTCATATGCATTGTTATTTTCAAACTTTTTCCACTTGATGCACGCACACAGTATGCAGGCTTGTTAAAATTGCAGTGTACCTTGTGGAACAGTCGTTCAATCTCAGTAGTTATCTTTTCACAGTTACCTATATCTGCTGTCAAAATGAAGATCAGTCGAGCTCTGTAACAAAGTCAATGTATTTCTACCCAAAGTGTGACCACAAGCAGCTGGAAGGAAACCTGGTAAAAGAAAAAAGAAAGACACTGAGCAAAATCTCAAACAAACTGCAAAATGTTTCTCTAGACATCAGGCAGCTCTGAAAACTGCAAATCGAAACTGTTTTCAGAGCTACGTTTGTTAGTTGTCTTTGGTCATTTGGGTGAATTCATCAGGTGAATCAAATAATTTTGCATTCAAGTTGAAGAGAACCTTCATTCAGTATGTGTGTAAAAGATTGGCCTTATCATCTAGCTGTGTTCCCCGCTTCATGGGAACAGTCCATTACACAATGATTTCTGTCTGAAGCTCAAACTTTGCCAGTCAAAGTAAATAACAGCTCTTCAATCAGTTAAAAACAAACAATTAAACTGAGCAGATGAAACAACAGATGTTGTTTTCAGATCTACATGTGCACGATTCTTTATTTAAGTGTGAATCCAGTCTCATTAAGCTTCTGCTCTTAATTGTTAAAGAAGAATCCCACAACATGCTCTCCTGGTTCTGTCACACATCTACTTATGTCATCACGTCTGACAGTTGTTCAGACAAAGAATCAACTGAAATCCTTCGTGTTTTTACATTTTTTCATGATTAAAATGCAATTAAAAGTGATCCTAAAAAGACTTTTATTGAATTGTGTTCACATGTTTTAATTAATAAGGGTAAAAAGTTGCAACCTCACAGTGTTGTAATCAGCAAAGCATAATCTCCACCGGGGTTTTTAAATGGCCTTGTTTCCATTTGCATGCAGTGTGGCACTACTATATACAGCTTTCTTTAGTTCAGTGTGAACAAGCAAAGGCCGCAGAATAACTGGGCCCTCAAAGGGGCATTAGAGTGCCATCGCTGTGTGAAAGTTTATAAATCCTGGATAACCATGGCAAAACAAAACTGCTTATTTGTTCTGGAATAAATAAAATATATAAACTAAATTTCTAATTTTACTCTTTTTCTCCACTAAAGCCATGCAGTATTCACCAGGATGAACAGAATGCAGTGACTTAATTTTGTGTACCTGTGGCCAACTGGTAAAGACAAAGCCAAGCTAAGTGGCAGAATTACTGTTAACAACAATGCGACCTAGATTTAAAGGGCCTGACAATGCTCCATAATTTATTAACTTTTAGTTGTAAGGAGGAGAGAGCAGTGTGAAGAACAGACTGGGAGCAAAGACAATGCTATGAAACAATTAATGTAATTTCCCCAGAAATAAAAACAAATATACAGTTAAGGTAGCACTGAATGAAAAGATTACATGACTAAAAGTAATAAAACTGGTTAAACAGTTCTCTAAAAGAAAAAGGGTGTGGCGCGAATAAGGCACGGCGGGACCACATATCGTTACTTGCTGCGGCTGCAGCTCACAGGCTGCCAGCCGCACTTGAACCACACCACAAGCACCACACCAACGTGTTTTAACACGGCGGGCGTGATTGCGGATGCCGTGCAGGTGCGTCCACACGGCACCGCAGACCACGCCCCACCACAAAGGGAAATTATTTAAAATTAATATATATGTAAGAATATAGCAGTCCCAAACACACAGAACAACACCAGTCCAGTTAGTACG